AAGGCTACTTGGATAAAAGTGTCTAACAGCTATATAAGTTGTAAAACTTTAGTTTTATGCTTTTTAGGATCTCCAAAAAAGAATTAAAAAGTCAAATAAATGCTGTACTTTATGTTTGGACAATCTAAATGGCATCTAAGCTAGAGTATTTAGCTTTTCACAGAACTAGTTTATCTGTGTTACTTTATAAATATAGCTCCTTATTAATGTGGTATAATAAACTAAATATTGAAGCATCAAAATAGTTTTTTCAACTACAGGAAAACAATCAATTAGCTTTGGCTAAGGCTAGCTGTGGAGTGAAGTCACTGTGGTTCGTTTTTACCTCTCTTTTGTAGTTACTGTGAATTTAACATGCTGTTTATATTGGAATATTTTTTATATTAATATGAACAGATGTCAAATGGTTGCATTTGGGCAGATCTGTCCATTATACACTGTTGACCTAGATTTTACCCTTTAGTTTCCTTTTGCAGAATACTAACTTACTTCATCTTAATTGTTTCCAAAGATGTAAAAATCATAGAAATTATGTAGTATCAACATTAATTGGCTTGACTCCATCTGGACTGAGTTTTCCCTCACAGTTTGTGCTACTGTACCTTCACACTTCATCGTTCACACTTCACTCTTTATCACACATTTATTTTTACCTGACACTGTGAACAAGAACAAATTCATTTGACTAATGTTTCCTAAAAGGATTTTTCAGGAAAGTTTTTTTCCAGGTCAGTCCATGTATCTGTGCCCTCAGTAAGAAGTAAGTAAGTAAATACAATAACAGATGAATCTGGTTATGTCATAATCAGGGTTAGTGGTGTACCACATTGGATTCAGTCCTCCTTTGATGATTAAAAATTGGATAATGAATAGTGAAATTATCCGAGGCTGTTGATTGGCAGGGCAGAGTAAACAGTAAACAGAGCATTAGCGTCCATGGCAGGAGCCAAGGTGACATGCCGTTCTCTTCTCCTTGTCTCCATTCACAAGTCTGTGGCACAAATACACAAAAGACCAAAAGGCCTTTAGGCAATCAGACATGGCTCCCAAATTGGAGCTAATTGCTTTTTAGCTGCAGTGTCGTTGGGAAAATGGATCAGAATTTGGCATGTTCAGAAAGCATTGAAATAGGCGGGAGAAATCGTAAATGAATAGCATCTTGTAACAGTTTGTCTAGGAAACAGGTTTCATAACAAAGCAGCTGTGTGGAAGGCGCTCCATGACAGATCAATGTGTAGAGGCACCCAGTTTCAGATGAAAGTCTGTGAGACTGTAGCTCAGGTAACTCTCCCACCCTTTTGATTGATTTGTCCAAAGCTGCACAGCCGCCAGTTGTCTGCTTAACATCAGGGAAGCTCAACGGGGGTGTTGGCAAGAAACAAAAAATCACCAAGTTACCAGAGGTAATGGCAGTGTTGTAGTTAAATGGTTGAAGTGGCACTTTACAGTTGAAGCTTATTCACACAAATAACACAGCAGCTTTTGACATTTCTCAGGCTGCAACAAGAACCAGCGACACACCTTGTTACAACAGATAATCGAACGCAGGTGTGGCTCCTAATTAACACTCATTAAGTAAGACTACATTTAGTTTTGTTGGAGATGTTCACTCAAAACGGATCATTTCCATTAAGGAAAGCCCAGAATTGAGAAAAAAAGTTAAATACATTTATTAATTTTGCTTTACTTAAGTGGAAAAGTTGCTCATCAATAAAAAGAAGAAACAGTAAATGTCCTTGATGAGCTACAACTCTTGTTGTGCTACAGTGTGTCTTTTAGAAATACATACAATATACATTTTTATTTATAATGACGAACAATGACAATTATGAGACAATTATATAGCTACAATCCTCAGCTGTATCTCCATGATGGTGTATATATGAGTCAGTTTCTTACCTACTATAGGACTTCATTCAGACCATGAATGAATGAACAAATTGATCATAATGTTTCTCTCCATCCTTTACAGCCTCGGAGCCCAACCTGAAGCTGCGCTCCAGGCTGAAGCAGAAGGTGAGCGAGCGGAGGAGCAGTCCGCTGCTGCGGCGTCGAGACAGCCCCATCACCACCGCCAAGAAACGCTCACTCGACATGGCAGGTGAGGGACACACAGCTGTCTGATGTTCAAAAAGTTTTATTTTAGGCGGCTGTGTTTTCTTCTATGTATTTGATTTGTGTGTGTATGTGTGTGTGTGTTTCAGACTCTGCGTGTAGCAGCGCCCCCGGCTCAGGCCCAAGCTCCCCGAATAACAGCTCCAACAACATACCCAATGAGAACGGCATCACTGTGTCAGTCTCCAACAACACGGAGGTAACACACACACACACACACAAACACACACAGCAAGTAGCTAATCACTTGAGTGCATCTGAGGTTTAAACCGATGTACAAATTTACTGATATATTGAGCTGTTACTAACTCACAGACAAACACTTTTTTGTATAACTTATCCATGTTTATTCTTTCATTCTTATTTTAATTCATTATTTGAAAACAGTTCTGTAACCCCTAAACCTCATAATCCCATTTTTTTGTCTTTTACTGGTAAGAAAAGTTTAAAAAAAGTTTTAGATAATTTTTTTCCCTGCAGAAAATGAAAGTCCTTTTTTTAGCATAAAACTTTCACTGCATTGAAAGTTTTATGTGTCATGGCATGAGCTGTAGACTGTCTCAGTTCAAAAATCTTTGTATATGAGATGAACCCTAATAAGCACAAAATCATAACAGAATAAATATACATTGCAAAATTTGCATATAATCTACATAAACCTAAATGATGCAGCCTTTTGCTGTCAGACAAGCTTTGCTGTTTTGTGTATGTGCTGGGCTACAGGTGCTAGTTATTAGCTTTTTTTTAACATGCACAAAGACTGAATGAGGGGTGTTCAGATGATGGGTCTGCAGAGGAGGAAGACAGCCGACGAGCTGGCAAGATGCTATTTGTGGCAGCCATTAGTGGCACTCAGGCAGTGTGGAGGAGGCTTGTGGCCGTGACGATTTTATATCGCCAGTAGGGTGAAAGTGTAGCTCTTTCCCCATGTGTGGACATCTACTGCTGCTGGGTTTTTTCGTGATGCAAATACAGATAAATCATTTAAATGTGCTTCCCAGGCGTCTCTGGCCCAGAGGCTGTGCAGCGGTGCTGAGCGGGGCTCCGTTAACCAGCTGTCCCTCTACACTTCGCCATCCTTACCCAACATCACCCTGGGGCTGCCCGCCACTGCCACGGCCACTGCTGCTTCCAATGTAAGGAGGGAACCGCTGCCAAGCTGGCCAAATTGCTAGCAGACTGTGCATCTATTTATCTGTGAATTTGTCTATCTGGAGTTTACTGTCTGTGACCATTTATTCACAATCAGCCCTTGCCTTATCCCTGCTCTCCCTCTTTTCCAGGTGACGTCAGCCCAGCAGGATGGAGGCCTGCAGCCGGCCCTCTCCCTGAGCCCTCCTTTCCTCTCGGGTGGCCACTTGACCCCCTACCTGGCCGAAGCCGGAGCGGGAACAGGCGGGCACGGTGCTCACAGTCCTCTGCTTCAACACATGGTGCTCATGGAGCAGAGTCCGGCACAGAGCCCCCTGGTGACAGGTAGGAGTACTAATGGAAGTTTTACGAAAGCTAGTAGTGATTAATAGTGGTAAAAGTAACAATAGTGGTAGTAGTTTTGATGAAATAGAAAAAATGGCAAATCACAAGAAGATATTATTCAGTCTCAGTCTCTGGCGACACAAAAAAAAAGTATCACCACACTCACAGAGATGTGTGTCTGTGGAACTTTGTGTGCCCCCCCTCACTGACACTCACCCTGACAGACGTCCATTCATTTGCTCAAACTAATGAGCTCCTTTCATATGTGTGCGTATGCTATGAGAGTGTGACATGGTCGCATTGTGCGCCCTTTCCCATCAGCTCATTCACTGACTACCATTTTGCTGCTATTTTGAGCAGGGCATTAGCAGTGAATGGGCAATGACGCACACACAGACGCATGTGTGTGTATCCGTGCGCAAAAAAAATGTACAGACAAGGACATGCACACGCCCACACACAGGCCAGGAGCAGAGTGTTAAGTTTTGCTGATGCAATAATGGACTTCTCAATTCAGACAAAGCAAAGACATGTTTTTATCCTCTCCATATCCAAGTACCACATGATAGCTATTGGATGTATCAGCGAGCTTTTTCAGAAACAATTTGAAAACACTCTGCTAGTCTAGTCATTTTCTCTGATATTTTCACAGTATTCAAGTGTCTCACATCATTTCCCGCGGCTCGATTGAGGCTGTTTTTCTTATTTTCCTGGCCCGCCTGATACACTGTAAATGGACTAAGATTTTCACTTTTCCAGGCTTGTATTATCACAATAGAAGAATTGCAGTATGGCAGCACAGATGGCTGTTTTTATTTGGTTCACAAATACATCTGCTGACTAATCTTAGGTCCAACACCAGTAATAGTGAAATTAGGAATACATTTTTTTTGATGTGTATCTTGTATTCTTAGAATTAAGTTTATTGAATGCAGCTTACAAAAAAAGGTCAGGGTCTTCCTTAGTGACCAGTCATTGTGGGCTGACACGGCTTGAAAAGACCTTTGCTTGAGATTTTAAGTCATTGTTAGTGTTTTTTTTCACTTCATTCAAACATGAACAATATAAACCTCTCCTTGACTGGACGACTACATCATAATTCACTGAATGGTCATTCGCCTTGCTTCCAGTTTTCAATCTGGAAAAACATGGTGGCTGTTCTGGTAGCCACCGAAATATTCTTGCAGACACAGACCAATGTATCATTATGACACCTAGTCTAAATACCTCATAAGGTTCGGGTTTTGGAGTGGCAGTGAGTCAAGTCACCATTAAAACACTCACCATGAAGCAATGCAGCTTTTCTAAACAGCTCCACAAGTGTCACACACCACCTTGATGTTCTGCCAGGTTTGAACCGGAGGTTTAGCAAGATCTACCTTACCCAAACTAAAACGCTGTCTTTTATGCAACAAAGCTGTTGTGTCTTAATCAAACCTACAACATCAAGCACAGAGTGTTAGATTGAAACAGAGCATTTTCTGTTCTTGTTTCTTAAGCTCTCTCCCAGACAACTTATGTAGAAAGCTCTTCTAATGGATACATTTAAAACTGTCCTCTCGACTTTCACCTCCTTCTGTAACTAAAGTCTTCCTCCTCGTTTGTGTCCAAGGCGTAAGCGGCCTCTCTATGTCGCCGGCAGCGTCCATGGCCAAGCTGCAGCGGCAGCACCGGCCCCTGGGGCGGACCCAGTCGGCCCCTCTGCCCCAGGGGAGCGCAGCACAGGCTCACGCCCAGGCCTTGGCCCTGCAGCAGCTGGTGGTCCAGCAGCAGCACCAGCAGTTCTTGGAGAAGCACAAGCAGCAGTTCCAGCAGCAGCAGCTCCACCTCAACAAGGTGAGGGGTGGAGACGCTTGGTTTTATTTTGTCATTCTTATTCTCCCTCTCATTCTATTTTCTTTCTTCCCTAAGCCTTCAGTTTCCTACCCTCCTATGATTGGGTTTTTCTGTTTGTTGCACATGTTCTCATTATTATTGTTGCATAAGCAGTTTCCTGACTGTGCTGATGAAGGCAGGTGATGGAAGGGGCCACAGATCTGACATCACATTCAAATAAACCAATAATTAATTCGGACTATAAGCCAGCGTGGGCCAGAACAGGAGCTGTAGCGTAGTTGTTTGCGTGGGCGACAGCTAGTAACACAGCCAATAACGTGTTAGCTGTGGATGTGTGTGAAGTCCTTGTTTTTATTCTGCTGTTGTCTTTCTTTCTCTCTCTGTAGTGTTTTTGTCTGCGAGTAGGCGGAGGCAGGTATGGGTTAACATGTAAAGCAGAGTGTGTGTGTGTGTGTGTGTGTGAGAGAATGTTTGCATCCACGTCTCTGTGACTGTGGCCGAGACAGTTGCCACGGACTGTGAGGTAACTGTGAGCTGCCATGGCAACAGAGCGGAAACCTCTGCCTTATACGGTCAGGGCGGAAGCGAGCAGCCGTCGTTCTTGATGGCTTTACCTATTCGAGCAGCAGTACTCGCGGGAGGAGAGGTGGGTGGATGAAACAAGGGATTTCCTCTCCTCCTCCTCCTCCTCCTCCTCCTCCTCCGCCTCCTCCTGCTCTGCTCCGCTCTCTCTCACTCCCTCCATATGTTTCAGAGCTCTCCAGTGGTGGCTTTTTACACAAACATCTCAATAACAGCCTCTGGCACGCCAAGGAGTTTTGTCAGGACAGAAATGAAAATCTCCACTTAATGTTTTATTCTGTTACATTAATCAGAATATACAAGCTGTTTTTTTTATAATGTGAGTAGTGGCGTTAATTTTGTAATTTAGTAAATAATTGCTAACTTGATAGACAGAAAATAAATTGATAAATACATTTATCAAACAAGAATGTAAAATATTCTTTGCATTCACACCTTTAAATGTGAAGATTTGCTGTTTTTCTGTATGATTTAAACACAATTGAATATCTTTGGGTTGCGGACTATCAAACTATTTCTTGATACAGATTCTAAAACCAAAACCCATACAAGAGCTCTCTTTGTCGCAAATGCTAAGGAATAGTTAAACATTTAGGAAAAATATCTTTATTTGCTTTCTTGCCACGAGTTACATGACAAGATTGACACCAAGCACGTGAAGCTATAGCTAGAACCTGCTTAGCTTTGCTTAGCATTAAAACTAGAAACAGCTAGCCTGGTTCTGTCAGAAGGTAAGGTTTTTTCTATATCCTAATGTGAGGCAAACATCAATTTCAACTTGTCTTATACTGTACATGTAATGCACGTGGTTTGGTCTGTAGGAGCTCATCGTAACAAATGACCAGAAAATGTGCTCAGTAACATTTGGCTAATGCCTGGTCCGCGGGGGCCGGATTGGTACAGGTTCAGGTTTTGGACTGCTGCTCAGTTGTGAAAGTAATGACGGATTTTTCTTTTTTGTTCTTGCATTTTATAGACTAAAAGACAATTTTAATAGTCAGGACAAAAAGAGGAGGGGGTGGCAGGGTTCGAGGGCGGAGGTTAAACATGGGTGAAAACAGAAGTTTGTTTGGATGCAAAGAAGACAGGAACAGTAGAGGGGTGGGGGGCTTGAATGAGTGCTGGTGAATGCTCTGACGTCAATGCTGTGTCAGCTCTGTGCCAGGGGACCCAGAGGCTTGCAGCTCTGGGAAGCACACACACACACACACGACAACACACCACACACACACACATACCTGTATCTGAAGCCCACTGTTGAGACTTCTAAGAAACACCTCATCTTTCTTATTGTTCTCTTAGTTTTAAATGCTCATACACCGTGGAGGCCAGTACTCCGCAGCCTTGAATGGCACTTTTGAATGGTCCACGTCAGTGAAAGTGAATGAATAGACAACTGAATCACTACTCGGTGAACAGCAGGCCCCAGTATGAGTCGATGAAAAGCAACACAACGGGGAGTGTGGAATGTCTCTGTTCGATGAGACACATTTTGCCCCGGAGTACAGTCGGCAGAGCGGCCACTCACATTCAATTAGAACGGATAGGTTTGAAATGAGCAAGACACCAATCTGACTGAGTAATCCAAATTAAGCTTGTTAAAAGAAGAATGCTCCAGAGAAAGGAGTGATTTGCCAGGAATTTGATTCAGATGAGAGCCTGCCCGTTTGTCTGAAAGCAGCCTCACACGTTGGAGGGGATTTGTCACATCCTGCTGTTTTATTGTGAAATGAATTTCACATCGTAGAATCATTTCTCTCCCCTGTGTTTCCCGCAGATGATGACCAAGCCCAACGAGTCCCCCGTGGGCCGTCAGCACCAGAGCCACCCGGAGGAGACGGAAGAGGAGCTGAGGGAGCACCAGGACGGAGGGGCTCTGCCGCCGGGGGTCACCATCAAGCAGGAGCCCCCCGACCCGCAGGAGCTGCAGGAGGAGGCGCTGCAGCAGCACAGGGAGCGCGAGCGGGAGAGGCAGGCGGAGCAGGAGCTACTCTTCAGACAGGTATAGAATAGAGGGTTGAGAAAGTGAAAAGTGAGACGTGCTAAAACAACGTAGGCTGAGAGAATCAATATGAAGTTTTGGAGAATTGATCCAACTCTACTTGGCACTAATTTATGTATGTGTTCCTTGGGAAATCCTGGAGAAGTGAAAACTAAAAAAAACAGACACTGAAATGTATTTTTGTGAAAATGTTGCTCTTATGGCATCTCTGTAATTGAATGCTGAGGGGAAACTGAAATTGTATAATTTGTTTTGGCTGCCATCTTTTGGCCATAAGTTGCACTTGCAATATAGAAAATGTGAAAGCCCTTTTCTTCCCTTTAGTCCCCAAATACATTTACATGTTCTCTAAACAACTCACTGTGACACCTGTAGAATTCATCTTTATTTGTGTTTCCTGTGTGTGTGTGTGTGTGTGTGTGTGTTTGTGTGTGTGAGTAGCAGGCCCTGTTGTTGGAGCAGCAGCGCATCCATCAACTGAGAAACTATCAAGCCTCCATGGAGGCTGCCGGCTTGTCAATCTCCTTCCCAGGACACCGCCCCCTGTCCAGGGCCCAATCGTCTCCAGCCTCAGCATCCTCCTTCCCAATCAGCGTCCCCGCTAGTGATCCTCCCGTCAAACCTCGTTTCACCACAGGTCCGCACCGCCATCCTCTCTCACTGAACCTCTGATCTACTTAGCTGTGGCTCCTTTTGCTCACAGTCTTTGATCTTGGGTCTGTTTTCTGTTAGCAGAGCAGCTGTGTTGCTCAGAATCTGTTTACTTATTATTTCCACAACTATAGTCTGACTCTGGTCTGCCTGAGACATGCATTTGAGAAATTTCTGGCTTTGAATTTCCCTTCCTTCCTAATGCACAGGGGAGTGAAAAGAGAAACTTCCATCCAAAAAGCAGGTGAATTGGCCAAAGAATGGTGTAATGGTTCCGGCCTCCATCTGGTAGCAGTAATAATGGAGCTAGAGGAGCTAATCTTGCCAAAACCTCTTCTCTCCCACTTTGTCTTCCTCTCAGACATCTGACTCTTTGAACAAAGAATACATTATAAAGAGAGCTGAGAATAAATGAGGAAGGAATGAATCTTCTATCCGCAGTAGACGTAATTTGGAACTGTATTAAAGATTTTGCATTCATGCACCATAGTTAAGATATTTTTATCACTGTTTGGCCTACTTTACTCCCACTCAGTTCTGCATAGAAAATCAGGCTTTACAAGTTTTACATTTTGAAAGAAGTTTCATTAACAGAAAGTAACGCTATTGTTTGGTCTTTAAAACCTCAGAAAATTGTAAAAACAAATCTATCTAAGCCCACACAAGCCATATGTCATCTTCAGATTACTTGTTTAGTCCGTTTGCAGAAAACCAAAGACAATTTACACCAACATAAAGCAAAGACAAGTATATTCTCACATTTCAGAAGCTGGAACTGGACATTTTTGCAAGAGAAAATATCTCTCTTCATCATCATAATTATTTAATTGTTAATGAGTGTATGTCTCTGTGTGTTCCCTCAGGCCTGGTGTACGACTCTCTCATGCAGAAGCACCAGTGTATGTGTGGAAACACCAACAGTCACCCGGAGCACGCAGGCCGGATTCAGAGCATTTGGTCTCGGCTGCAGGAGACCGGGCTCAGAGCGCAGTGTGAGGTGTGTTATAAGTAGAAAAGACTTCACAGTGAACATCACACAAAGTTGTAAACTGCATATGAGAGTTGTATCCCTCTGCGTGCGTGCGTGTGTATAGTGTATCCGTGGGAGGAAGGCCACGCTGGAAGAGCTGCAGACGGTTCACTCTGAAGCCCACGTCCTGCTGTATGGAACCAACCCTCTCCGACAGAAACTTGATTGTAAGCTCACACACACACATACGCAGCATTACAGTTACTCAACTGCTGATATTTAGTCACAATTCAATTATTATTTCCTGATCACCAGGTTCAATCACTCCCATGTTCGTACGGCTACCGTGTGGAGGTGTGGGGGTAAGTAACACAAAAAATTATAAAACTGACATTAGTGATTGTCATTTTCATTGTATGGAAAGACAAGGCAAGTTTCTGTGTTGCATATATGGAGGCTAAAGATACACAAAATATAATGTAGGTCTTGATATGCTAAAGCTAACAGGTCACTAGCAGTTCAAAAATTATTACAGTATTTTAAAACACAATGAAAAGGCAAATAAAAGAAATAAACTGCAGTAATAAGTTGTCCTAAATTTAATGCAGGAAATAAAAGTTCATTAGAAAAAAATGTGAAAAGCATTAGGAGGACGGAAGAGTAATAGTGTATGTTATATGTTTTTAGTGAATAAATACAAAAGCGAAGAGAGGGTCAAACCTGCAGCTTTTTTAGTTTGGTGAACAACTTGAACCTGTCAATGTGTAACATTTCAGTCGCTTTAATTCCTTCACTTTCTCTCCATAGTGTCGATTTAGCTCTGAGAATTGTGTTTTTGTGTCTCTAGGTGGACAGTGACACCATTTGGAACGAGGTCCACTCCTCCAGCGCGGCTCGTCTCGCTGTCGGCTCGGTGGTGGAGCTCGTTTTCAAAGTGGCTACTCGAGAGCTGAAGGTAACTATGATTTCACTCGTCTGGTTTTTGAAAGAGAATGCGTGACCTTCGGTCTTGGCTTCGCCTCCTGAGGAAAACACAGTGATGTAGATTTGTTTTAAAAGCAGGACATTTCAAATGATTCCACCAGGATTCACTCTCGTGAAAAATAAAAGTTTATTTATGTTTGATTTTTTCCCATTCAGAAGCTGCATTAATAAACATTGCAGGCTCCCCTCTTTATGTTTTGAGTGTATTGTGTATGGAGTGTGTAAATTACAGTGTTTTTAGCGGTGGTTCACCTCTGCTCATTGAACACAGAGGAAACACTGAAGGGTGATCAGTGCCGCTGTGGCTGACTCCTGTCCCTCCTGTCTGTCTCCCCAGAATGGTTTCGCTGTGGTTCGCCCTCCTGGTCATCATGCAGAGGAAAGCACTCCCATGTAAGGCCACAGCCATCACCACACTCAGTTGGAGACACTTAATCTATGCATATACAAATACCAGCACTGGAACAGGCTCGTCTGGAATAGAAATTACATAAACCATTGAGTTTATTTGCACATAAAGTACTGAGTGCCTTTATTCTGGCAGCTGTTTCAAGACGGCTTTATTTATTTTTCATATCCTCCCTACAACGTGTTTGAAATGCACTATAAAAACATGAAAACAGAGCAGGAAAGTGCTGAGGCACAGCTGAATTTCATAACAAGCAGGACGACTCAGCCCTCCTTCTCTTTGCTGATGTTTCAGGGGTTTCTGCTACTTCAACTCTGTGGCCATCGCAGCCAAGCTTCTGCAGCAGAGACTCAACGTCAACAAGATCCTCATCGTGGACTGGGTCAGTCCCTACTGTAACCAGATCTCTATCACGTTTTGTGAACAGCATAGAATTAGTTTGCATTAAAAACAAGTTAGTTTTAATTGAGTTTCCTCTATTATATGTTTTTTAAAATGCACACAGCATGGAAAAGTTTGTGATTATATCATGTGTGTACTGTCTAACCTCAGGACGTTCACCATGGCAACGGCACGCAGCAAGCCTTCTACGATGACCCCAACATCCTTTACCTGTCTATTCATCGCTATGACGACGGCAACTTCTTCCCTGGAAGCGGAGCACCTGACGAGGTGAGTGTGTAACCTTATTAAGTCTCACCAGACCTAAGCGATGCATTCCCAGTGCATTGTGGGAAACATTTTTCAAGATTCAGTTTTCATAGAAGAAATTTGGATTCTTTCTTCTTTTTGTTTTACTGTTCTCTTACTAAAGCACTTTTTAGTATTCTAGTTATGTTACATGTCTTAATGGAAGATTTGAAGCTACAATTAATGAATCAATCAATGAATCAATCAATGAATCTTCAGTCTATAGAATGTGAAAATAGTGAAAGTGGCGGCTTTAAACTACATGTTTGTCCGACCAACACTCCCAAATCCAACAATATTCAATTTACAATGATATGAAGAAGAGAAAAGCAGCTAATCCTCATATTTGAGGAACAGAAGCTCAGAATGCATTAAATTATGATTTTTTTAGTGCTATAAAGCTCATATGTGTTCTTGTATTAGTCCTGTATAATTTCTAGCAGATTCCATGTGTATAAGACCTTTAGGAAATGTGCACATCAATCCAGACATGACCAAAATTCATACAAAACGGAAACAAATACTCCCCAATAAAGTTAATACTATGGAGTTGTATTGAAAAACAAAGGCAAACTAAACAGTTAACAGCCCGTAGAAGGTTGTCCTGTGAATGTGAGTCACATGTGCTTCTGTCTGCAGGTGGGCAGTGGGCCCGGAGTCGGGTTCAACGTCAATGTTGCCTTCACCGGAGGCCTCGATCCACCCATGGGAGATGCAGAGTACCTTGCTGCCTTCAGGTACCAAATACAACATCATCAAACCACACATACACAAAGCAGCTTCACTACAAAATAGAGCCTAAGGGTCTTTGATTACACTTCCAAAATGTTTATACTTAACAATAATTTATAATACCAACATCATGCAAGTGTGGAAAATCTGGAAAACAAGCTGAATAAATTGAATGTTTTCTGTCCTGTGAAAACTATTTATCTCCAAAGATCAACTTCTAGTTAATAAAAACAGCTGTTTCCAGTATTTTTAGAAAAATCTGTTGTGGTTTTTTAATTTTTTTTATTAAGTATGAGAATTTCCTCAACCGATGAAGAAACAATTAGAGATGTTATGTTTTGATCTCAATTTCTGCCAGTAGATGATTATTTCTGATTATTGTATTGTTGGTACAGCCAGAAAAAAATAATGATTATTTTTCACAGATTTCTTAATTAACTGTTGAATCGTTTGGTAATTTGTCAGAAAATATTGACAACTATTTCTTAAAGCTCAAGTTGCTCCCCAAAAGTGAAGCCAAAACACCTCGATCGCCCTCTGGTGGCTGACTGCAGTATAGGTCATAAAGCCTGTTGCCTCTATGTTAGCAGATGGGACATTAACAAACTAAAAATAAAAGTACAAGTCAAATAAGATTCTTGTCACGCTGATGTATGCTAATACAAGTAAGTGCTAATTCTACCAATAAGTTTGGTTTTAATTTGTTATTTGATGCTATAAAAAGGCGGTTTCACATCATGATTGACAGCTGAGCCCTGCTCGTGACTGAGTTGGCTGCGTGTATGATTGGGAGCTCCGTGCCCTGGCTCTAACCCCAATCAGTGACAGGAAGTGGAGATGCATCTTCCATCTTTATAAATGCCAGTGGTGATGCCATCAGATGTCTCGTTTTGTTCGACTCGAGCTCAAAACTAGATAAAGATACAGAATTTATTATGCCAGAATGTGTGTGTGTGTGTGTGCTTGTATGAAAAGTGCCTGATTGGTTAGGATTTGACAGAGTAAAAAAGTTATTTAATGAATTGTTTGAGGTGGATTAAGGAGTAAATGTTTGCAGGTTGATAAAATGAGTTAATTTAACTTTGTGCTGTTTGAGTATCTTCTACATTCACATTGAAATATTGTCTGTTACTCTGTATAATCGCTGTACTCCACCCTCCCACTCTCAGGTCGGTGGTGATGCCCATAGCCAACGAGTTCGCTCCGGACATCGTGCTGGTCTCTTCTGGTTTCGATGCTGTGGAGGGACACCCTCCACCACTGGGCGGTTACACTTTGACGTCCAAGTGTGAGTACAAGATTATTTAAAGTATGTTTCTTATCTCACATGAGAAAGGTTTCTGGGAACAAACTGCTAAAATGTCACTTAGATTAAACTGCTGTAGCATATTGAAGATTCATTCATGATACCTTTCCTCAGGTTTTGGCTATCTGACCAGGCAGCTCATGACTCTCGCTGGAGGCCGGGTGGTCCTGGCACTGGAGGGGGGTCACGACCTCACCGCCATCTGCGACGCCTCTGAGGCCTGCGTCGCTGCCCTGCTAGGCCAGGAGGTAAGGAGTTCACTTGAACAACAAGCAGGATCTGAATCCTAATTGATGTCCCTTGTGAAGACAAACGAATGGGACAGAGTGTGGCATGTTTGTCTGGTTGTCAGCCAGGTGCTTCACATCTCTAATGTTGAATCACACTCACAAAGCATCCATTGTTGCTTCCGCTGTTCCATTATTTTAGATCTACCTGGGGAAATGAATTTAATAACTAGAGATTTCATTCATTACATTTTAATCCCCTTTTAATCTGCTGTGTTGGCAATGAAATGGAAAAACAAACATTATTTTGAGGACAAAGTTGCATAAATCCTGTGCAAATGTATCATTACTTAAGCTGTAAAACATGAAAGCATTAATTTAATTAGATGGGGAAGGTTTACCTCGATAAAGTGACATTAGGCATTATTAGTGTTTACACCACTGTGTCACACATCTGGGATTCGGGACGCAAATAAAGTTTGAATATGGCCCGGGAGTGGAGTGAACTGATGTTACATGGTGCATTTTTTCCATGTCAGCTCCTTCTAGAAGGTATTGGACATGCAGCCTGTTTCCATAGTTATGTTTACATTTTCTCTTTGTGTTTTTTGTCCCGTGCAGCTGGACCCGCTGCCGAAGGCCATCCTCGAGCAGAGGCCCAACCCCAACGCTGTTCGCTCTCTGGAGAAAGTTTTAGAGACTCACAGTGAGTTCACCCTCAGTTACACTAAAACACAATCACATACGGATGGGCAATGAGTTTTTAGATCATGTAGAAACAGTAACTGGTCACTCTTGTCAGGTGGTGTCTTGGGGTTTGCTTACATGTTTTTGTGTCCAATGTTTCCCCCGCACTCTCAGGTAAGTACTGGCGCTCGGTGCACCGCTACTCACCGCGGCTAGGACTTTCCTTGCTGGAGGCCAAACGAGGAGACTCGGAGGAAGCTGAGGCTGTCAGTGCCATGGCCTCTCTCTCCGTGGCTAACACCAACGCCATGGATCAAAGGTAAAGGATCCAGCTGAAGACACATCTACAGTCTTTTTTTTTTATATAGGCTTTTACCCTTAGCCCTGTGCTCCTCATAAAGGCACCTCTACTTCCACTACTTTCTGTGTCCTGTAGGTGTGGTTAAAGTCAAGCCTGGCAGTCATCCATTAGGGATAGTATATGTTGAGCAAGTGAGATAAATGAAGAGTCACATAGCAAATAATACAGTCAATCAACAATGTATTTCACTTGTTATGTTTGGATTTATAATTTAACAAGGTAAAGATACGATACTAAATATGTTGAAATCCAACCTCAAAAGAAGTCAAATATTTAACAAAAATCTATATTTCTAAATTATTTTTATTTATTTATTGGTTTATTGACATCGGAAAGGACACATTACTGTACTAACATTACTGTTAATGTGCCTGAGTTAGCCAAGATGCTGCTTTTCATTTGAAGTCCCTGGGCAGATGTTAAAAAATAACATTGGATTAAAATTACAAAGGTTATTGAAATCAATAATTGGAATTTAGAGAAAATAATGTTGGTAAAACACACAGGACACCATTATATTACATCGCCAAGTACTAATTAGAACAAGACATGCTAACAATGAAACAGGGAATAACAAAGAATCAATCAGTGAATGTTTGCCTCTGAGTTTGGTCTAAATTAAATCAACTGGCCCATTATTTTACAAACTTTGCTTATCTTATTGGAAGTTTGTGAAGAGGGCCCTCTCAAAGTCCCACATAAATGTGTGAAAGGTCAAGAAGAGTTACTGTTACTTGCTCTGCAATCAGCGGCAGAGTGAGTCCCAAGTCTCCACGGAGCAGAGCTGCAGGTGGTTGAAGGAAATCTGACAGCCAGCCGGAGGTTTAACCTGCGTTTGTGTGTCTCTTTGTCCACCAGGCAAGAAGAGGAACCCATGGAGGAGGAGGAACCACTGTAACGGAGGGAAACACAAGGGTGTCACACTGTTACCATTGACCTCTCCGGAGAACGCCTCTTTGAGCTGCGAAGAGTCTCGACTGATCCCTTCATTTAGTCCCCCTAACCCCACTCACCACGTCAGTCACCTTGATTGGCGGCCCCTCGGCCAAAAACGAGGGAGAGGGGGTGGGCTCAGCCTCAGAGTAGGGAGCCAATCAGGAGACGGAGGACTGAATTGAAAAGAAAAAATTAAACATAACAGCATCGCTCGGCGGCGCTCGCTCAGAGACACTCATTTTTTTTTCTGTCAGTCTTCGCACCCCCCACGTTAGCCCACAGCGGCTAACCAAGTGACCAAGGCAGCGGGCGAGTGTATTTGGAGATTTGGGGCGAGATCAGGTCTCGTCATGGAGCAGTGCAGAATCATACGGTGCTTTACACAGCTGCCTTCTGACCATTTATAGTATGGACACCAGGGACAGCAGATGTTCCCAGCTGTCAACAGTGTGGGAGTTTCTTTTCTCTTTTCTCAACTATTTTTCCCGACAAAACAAAGGGCATCACGGCAACTGACATAATATTTCACAAGATGCGTTCACTGTGGACTGCCGAAGTTTGAGTAGGCTTTTTGCAAAGATTTGATGAGGAGACTGTCGCCTCGCTGGAGCAGCCTGTCGTTGAAAAAGGTTGAGGAGTGCCTTGGTGAGGGGGTCCGCTGGATCGTTCAGGAAAAGATTGCCTTAAGTCAAAAGATTTTTCTCGCTGAGGATCGGCGCGAGGGGAGGGAGACGGAGAGTTTCCGGGTCCTTTTTGGGGGGACAAGAATGACAAAAATAAAGCAAACAATCTTTCAGCATGTTTACTTGGAACGTGACGAAGACAACATTTATGTCTCTCACAGCCTCTCTTGAAGAGTTACTTTACTTTTGGATGGATCTATTTTTCTGTAAAAAAGGAAACGCTTTGTAAAGGTAGTTGCCAGCTTCAGTAGAAAAACGGTGCAAACATGGAGACCTTCAAACAAGGAAATTAGATTGAAAAACTCTCAAAAAGGTTTAGCCTTTGATGTAGCTTCCCTTTAACTGAAGTCATTGCTTTGTAAACACATAAAGCATGCATTTGAGCAGAGAGACAAGACATTTTATCAAGATTTTTGAATGTTATCCAAAAGAGAAAGCCAAGCAAGAAAAGCCAAAGCATGAGTTTGCATTTACAGTAGTACTTTCACTCCACTTAGCTGGCAAGTCGACAAACATTTCTCGTATTGGCCCTTTCAGATAAGGCTCCCAGTACCCAGTTCAATGTTTACTAATTTAATCCTTCACAGATCAAGTGAGCATTTCTGTACGTGTGCCGATCGGCCTCTCATGCTTTGCCGGTTGGCAGCTACCTTGGTTTGCTAGTGTGAGCTAAACATTAGTCATGTATATTGAATTGAATATATTTTGAGAGGCAGTAATCGAGTATTGCCTGTTTGTATCTACATGTATGAGTTCCACACCAAGTGGTCAATTTACTATATCAGAAATGTGTTTGGTAAGCGTGTCCACTTTTTATTTTTTATTTTATAAGATTATTTTTCTAACTTTTTTCATCCATAGATTTTGTTCTGTGTTTTTATCCGTTTTCTGGATAGTTATAGGGCTGCCATTCACACACTTAGTACTATTGTCACCTCTTGTTCAAAACTTTCTTTCTTTCTTGTATTTATCAAAAATAAGGAGCAACTCTTTCTTTCTTTCTTTATACGGCTCTCTCGGCCTTTCTGCATTTTCATCAATTGTGTATTTATAACATGTACTGTTTATAGGAGATTTGTATATGGAAAATTTATAAATGTACTCTAACTAATGACAGCTATGATATTGTGAGCGACAAACAGTATGGTGTACGATATTACTCCATGAACTTTTAAAAAAAGCAGCATATTTAACTCGTCATCGACTGCACTGTTTTGCCCTCACGTGAAATCATTACACGGCACTGCAATTGACCTTTTGAAACACCTTCAGAGTAAAACAATTGATCACTTTGTTGCCTAATTGATACATTTTCCTCTCCTGCATGGGTGATATGCACTTAACCTTCCGACTGTGACAACACATCCAAAAAGAGGTTTAGAGGCCGTTTTATGTAGCTAGCTGAGTTTAACTGGGCGGGAAAAGACATGGAGGGGGGACTTATGTCGAAAAAGTGGATTTTTAACTAGTTTTGGATGGAAAACATCAGCCGATTATTTTAAAATCTCTTTCTGAGTATGTGTTGCACTATCATGTTTTGACTCTCCATAACACCAGTGTCTCCTTCTAACTATCATGCCTATTTTAAGTTGATATCATTTTATAAACTTGTAAAATTTGAGCTTAAGTTGATATTTTTTTCATGTCTAACAAAACATTCCACTTGTTACTCATTTAATTTGGCTTTTTTTTCAAATGAATTTGAGTTTTGTTGGGGTTTTTTTGTAGAAACTTTAATACTACTCTTTTGTTTTTGCCGTCTGCTCGCGCCAACTTTAACTCTTTGCATGGTTTGTGAGTCAGCATGCCTGCTTGTCTATGTAACAAAAATGTATTTGCACAACAGAAGAAGAACACTGGAGGACTTAAAAATAATAAAACCTCCCACGGCAACTCCCAAGAGCACCAGGCAGGATGGGTTTCTTCCTCTCTGGTGTGCAAACAATTCAAAAGACTTTGTCCAAATGACTCCACTGAGAAACATTTGATATTGTTCTTATTGAATATCGTTTCCAATAAGTGATTTTAACATGATTCAGCACTTACAACATGTATGGACTGTGCTAAAGAGAAACATGCTCTGCCAAACCTCTGCTACATTCACACCTTAAAAAGACTCTCCCAAAGAATGTTCCTCTTTCAAAAATCTTTGAACGGGCGCTGTTACGGTAGAGAAATGACGGCTATCAGTTTTGGAAAAAGGGCATCGTCGTTTTGATTGTCACACCCACCTCGGCCAGTTCTATATATATAACCACTGTGGCTCAAGAGCAATTCTCGGTTTACATGTAAATGGATAAAAAGGTTATTTTTTGTTTGTTGTTTGTCTCTATTGATGAAAAATGTTATCTTTCTTTGGGACCTACGCTTTGGACATTTCATCTCTGACATCATCTATAAAATATATTTCTGAAAAATACAAGGATCTGCACTCATGTCATTTCTGTTTGCAGGTTTTGATGAATTATAAGATGAACTGGGGTTTCAGAAAAAAAGAGTCAGGATTGGAGAACTTTTAGTGCTATTTCAAGATTTTTTCACATCAGTAACGAGACGCAAATACACTCAGTATCAACAGAGATTGTCTTATCACTTGTGAAGACATTTAAAGTACGTTATCTCTTCATCCCTCACAGGAAGGCAGAAATTCAGATTATCTAACTGATGATGTTAGATCAGATTATCAGACTGACAGAAAACCTGAGGAATACTCAAAGTCCATGTTAGCACAATCCAAGTGTAAATAATCAGTGCTGCTGCTTGTAGATGAATTCCTGAAATGTGTTTAGTAAGACAGTTTAACCCTCCGTGTTTTTTTACAGAATATCTCTGATCTGAAGACCATAAATTAGCTGCCCAGCACATGACAGCAATGATGGTAGAAAGTATGCCACCACTGACTGAGGAAGACAACATACGAGAGGCATGAAGTCTCAGCTGACTTCTCACTGAGTGGAAAATCTAATTACAAGAACCAATATCACAAGTGTGCCTGTTGGATGTAGTCAAAGTCCAAAGCAGCAGCCATCAGGTGACCTCCTCCTCAAATTAAACATTCTTTGCTCACTAAAATGTCAAGAAATTGTGAAAAATTCCCATTATTATTTCCAAAAGTCCAAAATATTAGAATATTTAGCTTGTTTTGTTGGACAAAGTGTCAAAAACCCAAAGATATTTAGTTTATTATCATAGAAGACAAATAAAACCAGCACAAACTGATTTTTAAGAAGCTGGAAGCTATGAATTTGATGGCTTTTTTATTTAAATATATATATATATATAGGAGCCGTATTGACCACATGTGAGCACTGCTGGTTGATTTGTAGCAATAAGATATTCCTTTACAATAAAATAATAATTGGTGCATTAAAAAAAAAATTACAAGCAAAGGGGGAGGAAGAAGAAAAATAAAGAGTTGAGGAAAATATAGGGATCACATGTACAGGGTCACATATAAATCAAAGATAATAACAATAAATCATAAAATAGTTGAATGAATGAATAAAAAGGGTAAGAAGGTAATATATGCATGTGTCTTGTCATAAATAATAATTGTATAATGAATAATTAATGAGAATATGAAATAAATAATTCGTTTGGAGGGTTTTAACAAGCAATGTGGGATATTTTTATATTTGTAAAATTATATATATATATATATATTATATATATATATATAACAATAAACATATATATTATATATAGCACATACAACAATACAAATGCTTTTTTTAAAACCAGATAAAACATGAACATAATAGAATAAAACAGCTAGTAAAAATATAAAACACTCACTTTTAAAAGTGGTAAAATAGATTTAAAATAATGAATAGTGTTTGTTAATCTTATAAATAGGCCTTAGTGTGTTTAGTAAACAATACAGCAGCGTAATAGGTGTGTCAGTGGACTCGTACACGGTCCAATGAGGGGAGGCCACTTCCCTTTACCATGCAAACACTGTCCTGATATTTCCTCTCTGCACACTGTCCCCACCGCCGCACCAGTGCAATGCCAAAGCTGCAACATTAGCAAGCTAATTCTCCCATCTTCAGAACCCTTAAGTGGGGAGACCTGTCGTACTTTTTCTTCTCTTTTTAAACTCCTCTTTCTTTCCTTTTCTTGAGCAAGCTGCAGCGGCTCCTCGGACATGCCTAACATCGTGCTTTTTAGCGGGAGCTCCCACCACGACCTGTCCCAGAAGGTGGCTGATCGGCTGGGGCTGGAGCTGGGGAAAGTGATCACCAAGAAATTCAGCAACCAGGAGACATGGTGAGCACGTTTACAATTTATATACGACGCGCGTTGCTGTTGTTGTTGCCTTTGCTTGTGACAATTTAAAGCGGTGTGCGGGTATTCGTGCTGGCGGGGCGGATATAGCTGCTCAGCCTCGGTATCACATGTGGGTAGGTTAGCTCGGAGCTAACAATAGTTCACTATTCAGCGGGTCGCTGTAACTTCTACACGTGACGAGCTAGCCACATGTAAACACACCGGGCTAGCGAGCTTATAGCTAACTCCAGTGCGCCCGTTATCGGACAGTTCGCTGCCCTCTTTTATTCATGTCGTTAAAGGGTTTTTTTTTTTTTTTTAAATAAGTGTGCCTGGCTGGTTTGTGTAGCTGGTGGGAGAAAAAAAAGAAAAAAAGAAAAAGCCAGACCGGCAGAAACAGAGTGGTTGTGAATTACGTAACGTTGCATTTAGTCCGCTGCGTATCATGCTAGCTACGCTAACTTTACGTCTCTACGTAAAGTGTCGGCCCAGACTTTAGTACATGTGTTGCAAAGTGTTCCCTACAGTCCAGTCTGTTCGTCTGAACGATGTGGAATAAACCAATATATGCCAAGAGCTAGCTGTGTGTTTTATTCGCCCGGTAAAGTGTTAATCCCGATGAGTTAGAGAGCTGCTGGTTTTGAAGTGGCAACAGATTTTACGGGTTTACTAAATTTGACGTGACACCTTTTGCTCTGCTCGCTAGGTACCGTTAGCTAGATGTAGGTTTATAAATGTATACAGGTATTCGGACATCCAGTTAAACAATAAACTCTTAAGTACCACTGTTGTCCAGTTTCTGCCGAAAAGAAGCACAGCAAGCGGGGGGAAGAGTGTGTCCGATAATAGATGCTGGCTGGCTCACTACAGACGAGAACATGTGGCCCACAAGGCATCTGACAGCAGAGCTAGAAGCACTAAAAGAAATAACTTCAAGCACAGCAAACACGCAGATAGATGCATTAAATGTCAAACATTGTCTCTGAACTGAGAGGATAACTTGCAGCAGCCCTGCAGTTAAATAAGAATAAAGTTATTTGCAGGTAGCTCTCATTACTGCCTGTTTTGCAAGGGGACGTTAGTTAACTCTCCACTGCTTAAATCACATGCATTTAATTTGTACTCATTTCCCAAGCCGAGCCGACCATTAGTTGAATCAATGACTGCACGCTAGCAGCCTGTCTGGTTTAATATTAGCATCACAGAGGACTTTTATTACTTTTACTGCCTGTTTTGCTGCCTGGGCCTTGGACAGAGTTCAGTCAGGTCATGTAGCTTGTTTGAACCCTTGTGCAGGATGACCTTCTGTTTGCTTGACTTTGTCCACCTGAACTCATCAAAGCACAGTGAGTCCACTGCAACTGTACATTCAGCATATATCTGCATGTATGTGTGGTTTAAGATGTGATCAGTGAGCGAATCCATCTCATCTAAGTGCATTTTATTCTGTTATTTCCCGTTATAGGAAACCATGGGCTACATTAATGTGTTTTCTGATCCTGTGGCTCAGTGAGCACGGCATTAACATTGTCTGAGTTAGATTCTATTCCTGCTGGGGTCACTCACTGATTCGCTCACTTTATTGTAATGCCCTCTGGATAAAAGCATCCAGCATTCACCAAACGAAATGTTGTTCTGTAATCTTTCTTTGCATGAGGACTAAAGAGTGAGCTCCAGCACCACAGCATCCTCCATTAAATGCAGTCGGAGCTTTTAAAGGTGTCTTGACCCCTTTATCCTCTGTAAGACCCTCTCGGCTGGTGATGTTTCCACCCACAGCTCTAAAATCCAGGGAAAACTGTTGATTATCCGTGCCGAGGTTTCTCTCCAGGGAATACAGCTGTTGGGGAGCCACAAAGTGCAAAACAAAGATTATTTTCTCGTCCTCGCAGGCTAACGGGGAGGTGAGGACGGGACACAATAAAAACAGCTCTTCTCACAGCTTCGACACTGGTTGTGCTTGGTGACTTGCTGAGGTTAAGGACAGAGGGAGTGGATTCCTGGAAATTAGATTGTGGGAAGACTTTCTGTTTGTTTGCACTGGAGGAAATGTACTAATAAAGATTTAACTGACCTTCTTTGGGGGTTTGAGCACAATTGCTCTAGTGTAGAGCAGTGATCCTGATTTATAATCCATATCCACAATTTTATTCAAAGATTTCAGGGCTGCGGCAAAAGAGGACAGTTGAAGATTAAAGTACATCCAGGAAAAAAATAAGCCTACAGTAATTATATGTGCAGGATATTCTGTCTACAGTAATACTTAAATTGAATCCGTTGCAGAAACCTACTGTAGTAGAGGATGAGCTGAAAGACAAGTAAAAGGAAATGCACCTGTAATTTCAAAATACAATTTCACAATAGATCTCTGAACGTGAAGAAGTCCAACAATAGGCATAAAAGAATAGCAGTAAAATTGTACCACAATGCAATAAAAACACAACAATAACAAATTTTATAAATAATGTGGATTGTGTGTGAATGTGCGTATGTGTTGTAGTGTGTCACAGTCAGACAGGCAACAGGCCATTAGTGTTTATAAGCCCGGTGAGGGATCCTGGTGAAAGCCTGCAGGTCTGGGCCTTGAGGCTGCGGCACTGTTTGCCAGATGGCAGCAGCTAGAACAGTCCGTGGTTGGGGGTCTCTAATGAACCTGTGGGCTTTACTGACACGCTGTCCGTAAATATCCTGGATGGAGGCAAACTCCCATCCACTGATGCTCCGGGCTGTCCACCGCCTGTAGCGCCTTGCAGTTGAGCTGTCGTATAGGCAGGCTTGTGTTTAGGGGCCATCCTCATCACGTGGCATCAACCTCACAGGAATTTCAGTTTCCAGCTGCACAGTCCTAGAGCTCGGTGTCAAGTCTGACGGGGACTGACAAAAACAGACCACAGAGAAAATTATCATTGGTTACTGATCAGATTAGTAATCTACTCCTAAAGTAGTATTAAAAACAAGAACCAGCACCTATAGCTGTTTCTGCCGGAGCTCAAACAATTAGTCGATTAATTAATTGCATTAATTACATTTCTAGCTTGAAAAAGAGGGATGCTAATAAACTAGCTCAAACAATGTGAGTGGCAGCCTCTATCCACAGCCATTCTCTACCTTTACAGACAGACTGTGGCCTCTCTTAGAAAAACTCCAGGC